AAAAGTAAATATTTTTATTTTATAAGCTAGGTATTTTAAATAATATATTATAAACTAAAAGGTATTTACTATTTAAGGTTAAAAAAGCTACTTACTAATATATTTACTATAAGTAAAGGTATTATAAAGGTATTTAGGTAGTTAGTTTAGTTTTATATATTAGTATTACTAATAGCTCTCTTAGTAAAAGGTGCTAAGAAAGTAGTATATAAGGAGGAAGTTAAGCAATTACACATATATACTTATTAATATTAGCTCTAGCGTAGGGTAGGTCAGTGACCTGTGCTGTCCGATATTAGGATCCATTGTGTGTGTTTCTCTCCCTGTCGGATGGTTGGGTTGGAACCATATTTCTATCTGTTCAGTAATGACTTATCTAAGAGCTTGTTGTAGTGGTGAAACAGCTCTCTGACTGGTATTTCGGTCATCCGGTTAGCCGGTCTCATTTTCATCAGTATTCAACCAAGTTCCTTTACTCTTGTACAGGTTAAGAGGGTCTACACAGGCGGACATCCACCGATTTCTTCATGTTGATTGTTTAACAATAATATTCTTTTAACTGAAATAGGCCATGTTTCATTTTTTTCCATTTAATAATATCGGATTTAGAATCTTCAAAGATCGGAATTCCCCGGATGATACTGATCTCGTCCGGTACCCATCAATATGTCTTGAGAAGGGTTCGTTGATTCCACTCCAACGCCGACACATCTTTGTACCGGGCGGGACAATCAGCCGATACAAACTCTTCAAAACAGCCCACCGAGGCATCTCTATCTGGCTTGCCAAAGTAGGCTACCGAGTACCTGGCGGGAAGGATGCTGGAGGAATCATCCTTGGCGAAGTCCTTTGGCAGGGTGACCCGATGCCACACGGCACGGATATTGTCGTTGGTCCAGTGCTGCAGGGAGTCACCAACATTGATCAGAACAGTCGGAAGATGGCTGGAGACAGCGATGAAACCGTCGTGTCCAGGCCGCTGGTCTTCAATTTCTAGGCCGCCACAGTCATCTTGGAAAAGGAGGGTGATGCTCCCTGCGTCTGTATGCTCTGAGATGCGCGTCTTAAAGCCTTGCTCTTGGATATCCGCCGCCAATACGGCTGGGTAGTGAAGTAACCGGAGCTCGCTACTGTCTTGCTGCTGATGCAAGGCTGAGAAACGATCCAGTGGCAGTCCAAGGCCCATGGCTAGCGCGTCTAGGATGCGCATGTGTGTCTGATAGCAGGCTTCGAAGAAGCTGTCCAACGTGGGCTGGAACTCTGGCTGAGATGCTACTTGCGGGTAGATATTCGGGAACAGGCGGTCGTGCGGCGACCCTTGGTCGAAACTCTCCTTAATGTCAATCTTGCGAGGCGCTGAAGTCTCACCCGGCCGAGGCCGACTTAAAGTTGACGTGATCTCCTGCCCAACGAAGCTGTATCCACGGTGTGGGTTGGGCCTCGCAGGATGAGCGGCCGTCATCTTCTCATTATGGGACAGGTCGAAGAATTTCTTACTCTGCTTGCAGCATAAGCCTGATGCCATTCTGCCATTATGAAGGGGAGAGGAGAGGAGCCGAGCATGGGCATGAACGTACAACGTCGAACAGCCGGTTTACTGCAGTGGGACTGATGCCGTAGTTGACACATCGCACAAAACCAAACTGTCGTAGTCCATCAACGAGCTCAAGACAAAACGCCTGCCGCTGGATATCAGTGCCCGAAGTGTACTGTGATAGATCAAGGGTGGGAAGTTGGGCTGACATGGTGAGAGGCAGAGTCAGTTGTGGATGGAAATTGAGGAGAAAGAGGTCACCGAACCGAGCATTTGAACCTCAACCAACTGATATATATATTCGTCGGTCGCCACAGGGGTGGAACCATAAGGTGGCACCACCGCGAGTACCACTGGATGCTATACGTATAAAAGTACAAAACGTGATGTATTTTGATCTAGGTTAGTATGGTGCTATTATATTCATCTCAAGAGTTGCGAGATATGCTCTCCTACCGAGAGAGATGGGCTCGCCGCCTAGTGCGCGACCAAGTCTACCGGGAGCTGTCGCACTACCATCAGTCGAAACATGACTGGAAAGTGGGCTCCAAGAACGAACTGGAGCGCACCTGTGACTATGAAATGACCCGAAATGATCTGCCCTCGCCCTGCTGGCAAGATCAGGCTCGCACCAAGCAGCAGCCTTTGCATATCTGCATCGTTGGGGCAGGCGTTTCTGGCTTGTACATCGCGCTGCTCTTGGATAGCTTGGAGATGCCAGGACTGACATATGAGATCCTCGAAGCTTCGAACCGCGCAGGTGGACGTGTGAAGACACATTATTTTAGCGACAGGAGTGACGACTACTTTGATGTCGGTGCAATGCGCTTCCCGGAGGCTACCCACATGCAACGGTAGTGAGATCCCCAACCTGGGCATTCAGATGCTGATGCTCTTCAGAATAATGCACCTATTCCGACACCTGAACGTGCCGTTGAGTCCATACTACAAGACTGAAACTGACCGCCCGTACTTGTTCAACAACATCCTCGCAGCGAACATCCCACAAAACCGCAAGGATATCTTCCAACTCGGCCGATCTCATGGTGGTCTGGTTCCGGACCGGTAGGACTGTTTCTTCTACGTCTTGTGTTCTACTATTCATTTATTTACTCTTTCTACTCAACAGGTTAGTCCAGCGCGGTGCGCAGCAACTTCTGGCAGACGCTGTTCAACCGCACTGCGCAGCTCTTGCACAGAACTTTGACCAAGGATTCCAAAGACTAATGGAGTTCGACCATTTGAGTACCTCCATGTACTTGCAGCAGATCATGTAGGAACCGACTGATCCCATGTCTGAAAATGGAGACCCGTGGCTTATCTCGTGAACTAGGGGATACGACTTTCACACTGTCCAATGGATGGAATCCATGACCTCGTACGTCGATTCCTGTGGCTTGACGTGATCAAGAGCCGAGACTGACAAGACTCTTCAGAGCGACAGGGCTGTTCGACCAGGCCTTCAGCGAGACAGTCTTAGACGCACTAGACTTTGACTACTCAGATACCACGCCGTGGTGGCGGATCGAGGGTGGCGGCGCCGTGCTGATTAGTCGTATGTGCGAGGCCATCTCCCAACCTTGCAAGCTGAACAAGGCCGTGGTACGTATCGTACACGACAGCAGGAGTTCAGATGCGACAATCATGAACATGCTAGTGCAGGTCGAAGGCGAGAGCTCGTCCCGACAGTATAACACCGTGTTCGTGACGACGACGCTGCCCGCGCTGCAACGTATGGATCTGCGTTCAGCTGGGCTGCACCCAGCGCAAAGACAGGCAATCAACTACCTACAATACGACAGTGCGACCAAAGTCGCTATTAAGTTCTCCCACGCATGGTGGCGCGGGCCCCATGGGTCTCTCTACCGGGGCGGCGAGGCGCACACTGACCTGCCGCTCCGAGTGTGCGTGTATCCGTCCTGCGCCTCGGTTGCTGAAGCCCCAGACCAGCCTGCCGTGCTTCTTTGCTCGTATACCTGGGCGCGCGATGCCCAGCGCATCGCATCTCTGATCAGTGACGAATCTCCGTTGGGCGAGGCAAGGTTGGTCGAGCTCCTGCTACGCAACCTGGCCGAGCTGCACGCTGTGCCCGGCGTCACGTACGAAGGCCTGCGTGCTGCATATCTTGATCACTATGCTTTCGCCTGGGACCGTGATCCTCACGCTGCTGGTGCTTTTGCATTCTTTGGACCGGGCCAGTTTCGTAATCTTTACCCCTTTCTGACGCGTCCGGCCGCTGATGGTAACCTCCATATCGCCGGTGAGGCTGCCAGTCCTGTGCATGGCTGGATTCAGGGATCCCTTGAGAGCGCTTACCAGGCGGTACAGCACTTTCTAGAACATCACAGTTTGTGTGATGCGATGGCCCGACTAGAATCCCAATGGAGTTGGGCTGGTGATACGAGAGCAGGTGACCACAGGATATCGCAATTGCAGGTCTATCTGGCGCGGGGGAGAGGTAACAGGCAACACGGCTTATAAGTAGACGAGAAAACTCATAGCAAAGGCGTACCTATTCTCAGTACTTTGAGTGGTCGATAAGGGGCTCACGTACCATATACGGAGAAGGATCTATCGGACCGGCCGAACATCATCTTGATATCTTCTGTCATTTATCTTTCTATTCTTCAAAAAAGTAGTTGCGTATTCACTAGTCGAGAAACAATACCAGTTGGTCTACTTGAAACGTTATAGGTCAATCGATGTCATGTTCTCAAACGGACTATGTCCTTTGGAGCGCTGGGGCCGAGTCGTGGTTTCTCCGGTCAATCTATTCCAAGAATCCCGAAAGCTCTTTTCATATGGTACTGGTACTGGGATGTCGCACATGGAAGTGCATCGCTGCCACTAAAGTGTGGCTACCCATGATGTTGTTTCGCCCCTCCGACTTTTATATTTCTATTGAGCGAACTTCTCGACAACTTTAGATCTCACCATTTGCAATGACATAAAGAAAAGACAACGAAGAAAAATAATTTCGTATGATTCTCTATACCAGTTTAATATGCCGGTCCCACTATCAGAAGGTAGGAATTAGCAACTACTTTGGTTCACTATATGGGGGCCTTTGATGTGCCATGGTTACATACCGTCTCCAAAGCTTTTCTTATCGGGATTGAGCCAGTGAGGCGAAATACTTCTTTAAAGTACTCATGCGTCACTTCAAAAGGTTTGGCAGTTAGATTGGGAACATAGCGCCCAACGAGTTTGGCGGGATCGATATGTTCAACCAGGATGGATCTTTGTAGACACTTTCGAAAAGCGTCAACGCCAGGGCGTAGATAGGAGGAGTGAAAGGGAACGTTTATCCCTTTCAACGGGATAGCCGCTTTGCTGCGACTCAGCGTCATGGTTGGTGGGAGGTGTGTTGCTTCCTCCACGGATTGAGAGATAACCCTAGTGAGATTAATAGAATCGAGAACCGGCAATGACTGTGCAGCATCATGTATATGGTCCAAAATGACACCTAAACAGTGTAGTGCGCGAGTCTGACAAGGTTGAGTTAGTGTTGCTTGGCCAATATGTGCGATGATGTTTGCTCAAGATGCCATGCATCGTGGGGATGTGTACCTCTCCGGCGCATACGTATTGTAGATCGACCACATTATGGTTGACCACCTCGAGAAGCCATTGCCCTTCGGCCGCAACTCGAGAAACGAGAGACAAGAGCCTGCTTCCGTCAAATTCTGATGAGCGAGTTAGCTTCGTATCGGCCGCGCTTCAGGAATTCTCTCGACAGTTATCCATACCCTTGGATACCCTAGTCGGGTCTATAGCACACATGGCGAACTGGGAACGGCCAAGATCGTCACATGCTACAACTGATTGCATGACCAACCCACGGTAAAAGACTGTGGAGATGAGTGTCTCGAGATCCATGATGCCACCCAGGGCCACTAAGGCTGAGAATTCCCCAAGTGAATGCCCCGCATAGACGACACTATCCGGAACCAGCTGACGAGCCTCCAAGTCCGCTATGATGGCTAACTGCATGAGAACGATGGCAGGCTGAGTAAACTGGGTGGACGATAACAGACCAGATTCTGATGTGTAAGCGTAACTTGTGGTGTACTGGTCGATTGTGGGAAACAACTTCACTTTTGAGACTTGGCCATCTGATTCGACGCGTTCTGAAGCCAGAGCCATGTAGTTAGAACGCACGCGACGGCCAGCTACACCGCCAAAGTGCACCGTCAAGGAGCGAGGATCGTTACGAACAATATCGGTGATACGAAATCCTGATGGTCGGTATTGTCAGCAAATCGGCAGAGCGCTTGGGACTGGTCCAGATGCCACTGGGATCTATGTTACCGTAATCGTGTTGGAAGTACTCGTCGGCTATGTCCCAAACTCGTCTAGCTGCGGGGCTATTTCTATACAGCTCCATCCCCATGCCCTTTGTCTGGCTGCCCTGGCCCGTAAATACCAGTGCTGTGGACGGCTGTTCGATCTCGTACGTGCCCTTGAGCACCAACTCCTCGGTCGCCGTTTTGTGCACTTCAACCTGCACGACCCGCAATCCTCGATGCATGGCGATGTGCCGGAACGAGACTCGAAGGCGATCTTTTTCATAAACTTTGCATATAAACGAGACATTTGACTTCCTCAGCATGCTCCGTGTTCCGCCGCAAAGCCAGGTGTAGGCAACATGTAGAAGCTCGGCACTGATGTGCATCCCATGCACTATCGGGCGTGGGAGGCCTGCCAGACAGGCAAAGACAGGGGCCACGTGGATCGGGTTGAAGTCGCCACTCACAGCGGCGTATGCAATACTCTGGTCCTTCTCTGGAGCGACGAGGATAAGTTTCTCTCCGTGGAGGAGATCAACCGGCGTCTTCAGGAGAGTAGGCTGACTAGGCGCGATCAAATGTTCATTGAGAAAGTTGCGGGTCAGGTCCAAATGACTGTCGTCGTGACTGACTAGGTCACATTTGCCGATAATCTTACCACCTGACGCGGCATATCCAGTGATTCGTTGCTCTATAAGTCTTCCTTCTCTATCAGAATATATGAAGTGCTCGAGTTCGAAAACGACCAGCTTGCCGACAAGCTCTTGGACGGAAGTAAGAGGCTGAAACCATGGCTTTTCGTGCAGCCTAACCACACTTATCTGGTCTTTCAATAGAAGCTGAGCTGAGGGAACGGTCGACCTCCGGAACGAGCCATGCGAGTCCTCATAATTTCCCATAAAGAGAAATCGTGCTTCTATCTCCAAGATGCAAGCCTTACCCCTGGAGATCCGGGCTCGAACTTCAACCATCTTTCCGGCAGATTGAACTGCCAGTTCGGTGACGAGAGCTTTGGTGTACAGGGTGTCACCAGGTATAGGCAGAGACTCACCCGGCAAAAGTCTTGTCTGATTCGAGATATGGAGGAGCTTAAGCATATCTGTTGCGAGCTCGCGGCTAAAGAGTGGCTTCACCAAGGCTTCCCAGGCTATCACGACAGAGAAGTCAAGCGGAGCCTCTAAAGTTGTACGATTCTCGTTGGCCATAGAAGAAGTCGTCCCGGTGCACATATCGTACTCTCGGATGGCATCCGCGGTAACGGTGTATGGTCCGCATTCGAAGTCGTCATAAATGGAAACACCTTCCGGTCCCTGGCTTGTCCCAAACCAAACTTTGTGGTAGAAGTCCCTCATGTTGGAAGGCTGGTCACCGCAACAGTCTGAAATCGCAATTGTCGAAAGCCCAGGTTGATATGAGAGGGAGTAGGCGACAGTAGTTGGCGTATACCGTGCACTCTGGTGATGGCAGATCTCGATCACAATTTTACCACATGGCTGCAAACTCAAGTCTACTACCTTGAGAAAAGTTTGATCAGGAAGGTGAATCAGGAACGAAAATCCGCCTCTTATATTGCTCTCTGAACTGTCAGTAACTTGCACGTCCATGCTGCATAAGCCAGAAACCACGGCCAGAAATGGATTTGCGGCCAGTCGTCGCTCTTTTCTCACTCTTTCAAGAGTAAGCAGCACCTTGGCCCAACTCAGTCTCTTATCGGAACATTGCTTAATATAAGAAATCCAATGTGCTAGGGTACGAATACCATGGCTTGCATGAGATACCGGGAGACCATCATAATGATTGTAATCTGCCACCTTGGTCGCGTCCAGGGGGGAGTGGTCGAAACTGGGGATCTGACCATGGCAGTAGGTCTCGCGAAACGTGGCGACCCATGCATCATGGATCTGTCCCAGTATCTCACTGATTGGCTCGTTGACCGTTTTCGAGTATTTTGCCGCAACAGGACCGTGCAAGATACATACACGACCTACATCTTGATCCGGCACCGCTGCGAGATCTTCGGACTGCCAGAGGGAATCCTTCTTGAACCATGTTTCGAAGTCTGCGTCAAGAATTGGCACGAATGGTACCGGCTTTTGTCCACGTCGGCGGCAATTCTGCAGAAAGTACATGACATCCTCATAAGCAATCAGCTGTGTGGTGGCCTCTGGTATTACTGCCAGTGTGGAAGCCAGAGTCGTGTAAGGGTCATCTAGGTCCTCGGGTCGTTTAAGCAAGACTGCTGATCGTGGGGTGCCGCTTCGAGACAAGCGTCCTAAAGTTCGAACGAGCATATCAAAAAGAAGTTTCCTCCATGATAGATGGACCCATCGATTCTCGGCTCTGACGTAAGTGAGATCGACAAATCGATAGAGCACTTCGCCATATGTCATCTCATCAAGATCCACAGGATCTTTGCTGGGCCCACTGCATCCGAACCATACCTTGTGATAGTCAGAGTTGAGTCTTTGAATGATTTCGTTGCGACGTGCAGTAATCTCCGCCACTCGTTTCTCCGCACTTAGACAGAAGATGGTCTGGTCAAATTCGTGCCATAGCCTAACCGCGCGAGTGGAAATCTTGTGAATAGGTTGTCTCATTTCCGAAACAACAGATAGAATACCGCCTGCAGCACATGAAGATGCATCCTGCCATTCATTATCCTGGACACCGTCGGTTGCCACAATGACAGCCTTGGCTGCTGGGCTTGTCTTTGCTTCTTTAGCCACCATTACACGGCTACCGAGAAGCACGCCGTCAACTGGCATAGACGCTAGGCCCATGTCTGTTGCCCAGTCTCCTGTGAGGTATTCAAATGTCTCAACCGAGCTCCCAAAGCCGCTTCCAACTACCAGGACGACATTGGGATGTGCCCGGATTCTGCCATACATATGCCGTAATGGGGAGTGAAAGTCTTGGTCAGAATGGTGGCCGCCACCACGGCCACCTGTCCATTGGAGAACGACAGGTAGAGGTTCTAGACTCCTTGCAATTTCGAGCGTTCTTTGAATGGCTTCGATCGAGCCTGGCTTCAAGGCGATGTGACGGAGACGAAGTCGTTCAACGTACTCCTGTACAACGTCTGGCGAGGGCACACCGGCGCCAATCGCCAGGCCATCAATGTGATAACCAGACTCAACCAAGCGCTGTAATTCCGTGATTTGCCATCGCAAAGTAGTAGGATTGCTATAAATC